TTATATAGTATTTTTACAATTTTGGTATAATTACACTTTTGGTATAATTACTGATTTAAGTGGGTTGCTCTGTCGGGGAAAGGCACATTTTACATTTAGATTATGTTTTATAGTCTCTATTCTTCAGTTAATGATGAATCACTTACTAAATTAGTTGATGATTATTGAAATAATCAATTAATACGATTCATTTTTCAGCCCCAGATAAAATACCTGAATTGGGCGACACAGAGTAACTACAGCCCAGATGTTCAACTTTTATAGTGAAGTTAATATTTTAATGAATGTATTATTTTGCTTGATATAAAGAGAGCATAGTAGGTAAAAAATATTAGAGTGGGGTTTAACTCTGCATAATTCTATATCTTCAAAAGAAAATACTGTATTTACCTTCTCTATTAGTCATTCAAATGAAACCATTTTCAAAGTGGAAAACAGTCCTAATTCCACATTCATCAGAGCTGGTGACACTTCAAGCATTGATAAACAGCATCTAATGAGTGTCGAGCTTTTAACATTTTTATTAATGGAGCAAAATTATGCTTTTCTCTTTTAACAATGAATTGCTCTTATCAGCATGGATGCTCACATCGAGCATAAAAAAGGGCATGCATATTGCATAGCACCAATGACACCTGACCAATTGTGTCCCTACCAAAGTTCAAATCAAACCTACGCCCTTGATGGAAATAAATACATGCTCCTCACATATAGCACCAAGTCCTGTAGGCTGGATGCAGCCACTCTCCTCTTTGCTAAGAGAGAAAGATGAAAAATCAACATCAATCCTAGGCAAGCCATAAATTATTATAAAACTTATGGACAACTGTGCTGTACATTAAAAGCTTAATGCAACATTTCTAACAGTTTGCCACTTCTGCAAAAATGTGTGAGGCACATGGAACTTGACAACACTGTGTCACATGAGGGATGAGGGGCTAAAGTTTTGAGATTAAATGGTAAAAAAAAAAAATAAAAAAATAAAAAAAAAAAGCTTATTCAGAAGAATCTTTAAATAAAAAATCCAATCAGGAGAAGTATTTTCTCTCCAACATCTGCAAGCTCCTCCAGTGGAGGAAAGCCACATCTAACACAGATTTCAGATTTCATGTCAAATGTGGAAGTCCCAGTTTAATAAATCCCGGCGAGCCGCGTGTGGCCACAAGGAAACCAACAATGCGTGTGGACGTCACAGAATCACAGAATTTAATCCAACAAGAAACAGCTTCTGAATTAACAACAAAACTGCAGAACAACAGAAACATACATTCAATTACCTGAGGTAAAGAAAATAGAAAAGAAAGGCAAAGATTCGTCTTTGGAGAGAGCTGGTGCAAAAAAGGAAAAATAGTGGCAGCTATTTGAATTATAACTCGTGTGCACGAACTTTTATAATGTAGGTGTGTCTTTCCTTTTTGTATATTTAGTTAAGGCGTCCCTCCGCTTGACCAATTGGAAGCTACCTTGGACACTCAGAAAAACTTAGAACTTCCCCTAATTTACAGCAAAAATCAAAGGCCATTTGCTTCTTTGTTTAACAAAAAGAGTGGAGAGCTTGTCCTGGCCTCCAGGATTCTAAGGTCATCTGGCTGAGGAAAACATAAGATAAGATTTCACAGATAGCTGTGGAATCCAGAGCCTCTCCTGCTATCTCTTCTTACATAAATTCTCAGGAACAAACTTAAATTCAGTAATTTGGTTCAAGGAAAGGTTATCTTCACAACCCCAATTTTGCTCTTCTGCACCATCTCACCCCAAAAGATTGAATCCTGCCTTAAACCAAAAATAACACATAGAATCAACAGAACATGAGGTACAATTCCTTTTTCCAGCCTATGAAACATAATATTCAATCCTAAGTATACAAGCTAACACATTTTCCAAAACCCCATTTAGCATAGATCCTGAGCAATTTTCTAATAAAACATTTTCATTCAAACAATTTCCATTTGATTCTGATATTGTCACAGATAGTACAATTTTCAAATACATTCATCATCTACTAAACTAGTTAATTCTAAAATTAGATAATACAATTTTCATTTAAAAAACATGCTATTAGTACTTAGAAAAATGTCTTAAAAACTAAATGTTAGTGTTTTAACATTCTATGTTGTATTCAGTTTTACACCATCCCAGATGTTAGTTCTGGAAGACTTTTGATCTTCTGTGAACCAAGCAGACTTCTCTCCTCGAGGCTCAAATGATGCTGCCCCCCAGGAGATACTCATTTTATGGCCTCCTGTCCTCCCTGATAAACAACAGGAGCCTCATTGCGAGATCCCCTTTGATCTACATTTTCCTTCCTGCACTTTGAATACTTACCCATCAATAGTTTAGTTTTAAATCATTAACCCAAACTTGTTCAAAATTAAGAAATATGTTCAAAATGAGAGTGTTCAACATACCTTTTACACATGCCATAAGATTAACTGTATTAAAAACTAAAAATAATCATTTTTCTTTAACAGTAACCAGAATAAACATTACTGGTTAGTTTGTGAGGCACTATGAGCAGATTTAAATCCAGACCTCCAATGGTTCACATTAAAGGTTTCTAGCCGGTGTGAATTCTCACGTGTTGCTGGAAACGATATCTTTGACTGAAGGCTTTTCCACATGTACTGCACAGAAAAGGTCTCTCACCTGTATGGATTCTCATGTGAACTGTCAAATGTCCTTTTTGACTGTAACTTTTCCCACAGGTTGCACACGAGAAAGGTTTCTCACCTGAGTGAGTTCTCATGTGGACAATTAAACGGGAATTGCTGGCGAAAGTTTTTCCACAGGTCATGCATGAAAAAGGCCGGTCACCCATGTGATTTTTCATGTGAAGTGTTAATTGGCTTCTCTGGTTGAAACCTTTACCACACGTCGCACACGAGAAAGGCTTCTCACATTTGTGAATTCTCATGTGTTGATTCAAACCGCTTTTTAGTTTAAAAGACTTCTCACAAGCACTGCATGGAAACGGTTTCTCACCTGTGTGAATTCTCACGTGATCCGTCAGCTGGTGTTTGAGAGTGAAGCTTTTTCCACAGGTCATACATGAGAAGGGTTTTTCGCCTGTGTGAATTCTCAGGTGATTATTCATGATACTTTCTCGACTAAAACATTTTCCGCAAAACTTACATGAGAACGGCTTCTCGCCTGTGTGAGTTCTTGTGTGATAGATCATGTTAGTCTTTTTCGAGAACACTTTATCGCACATTGTGCATGCATACAGATGTTTATCCTTACGAGTTTCCTTCTGCCCTTTTAGTTTTAAACTGTCTGAATTATTAACATACCCTCTAGCTTTCTGGCATTTCTGATTTTGCTGCGGATCTTCATCGCTACTTAATTCTGTGTCTTCATCAATACTTTGAACCTGATCTTGGTTCACAGTAGCACAGCCATCCTGAGAAAGAAGTTTGTCCCTGATTAGTTTGGGTTCTTTGCTGTACTTTTCTTCATTAGTAGAAAGCGCTACAGAGGTCTCTGCCTCCTGCTTCAACACAAGCTGTTCTTCATCGTGAGTTATACAGAGTTCATAGTCTTCCTCTTTTATCTGCAGCTGTTGAAGATCATCCTGTTCCTCCTTTATTGCTGGACAGTCCCATTCTTCCTGATCACAGCTGGAGTTTCTCACCGGGTCAGATAGTTCCTCCTCTTCCTTAAAACAATGCGGTAGGTCATCTGAGCAGGCAAACAGAAAAATTATAAATATTATATATATATAATTATTATATATATTATAATTATTTATATCACAAATGAACTCTCTTTTAACCATAAAACTTAAAAAGCTGATGTAGATCAACATCGAGCAATGTCAGCGCTCATCATGGCTCAAAAAGGTCAGATAAATCTCACTGAACACATTGTCGTAGCCACAGATAATAACTACCGGTACCCAAACTTGTCCTGTTAGATCCTTGGCTTGCTTCTAATAACTCATTATAACCTTTAATTGACCCAGTTGTAGGGCTCAAGGAAACAGAGACTGACTAGTCTACATTCCTTTAATGATTCCCTGTTTTCCAAACAAAGTTAACCTATTCCATTGATAAATATTCATCATTGGCAGAACCATTAAGGGGGTACCACAGGACAAAGGCTACGTTCACACTGCAGCCTAAAGTGACCCAAATCCGATTTTTTTGCCCATATGCGACCTGGATCTGATCCGCCGGCACTACCATCCATGTTTACTTCCATAAACACAGAGCACGCGGGCCTGTGACATCATTGCGTCGTCTACTGCGCATGCAGGGCACTTGCGTTGTATTACTGCAGTTCACACAGGAGATCACATACTAGTTGGATATATTTGGAAATATGAACGGCAACGTAAAAAAAATTGGATTTCGAAAAAAAAAAATCGGAATTGAGCATCAAGGCCTGCAGTGTGAACGTAGCCAAAATAACTTGGTAAAGCATGATTACTAGATAATAAAAGCAGAATCAGATAAAATAGATTCTATTGTTATGCTAACACTCAGCACAGCAGTAATAAAAATTCTGAGATATTAAAGGAAGGATTACTTTTAACATAAAAAAATCTCAAAGAAAAACAAAATAACATCTAACAAAGTCAAAGGGAGATTTTAAATCTGTTCACATTATTGTGACAAAAGAGAAAACAATTAAAAATGTGACCATGGTTTGGAACGACATCCAAACCTGGTTATGTTGTTTAGCAAGCTTCTCATAAACTGTTATACAGCTGACGTGTATGGTCTCCACATGCTTAGCAGAAATAAATAGTAATCTCAGAGTTTCTGTGTAAAGTTAATTAGTGTTTGTCTTTCGTTATAGAGAAAGTAACATGCGAACCAGGTTTCTTAAACATAGACATAACCTTAGAGAAATGCCTTCACTCTTTGTGCAAATATTGTAAAAGAAAAATTGCAGCGGGGAAAGTGAAATAATGCCCTTAGTATGCAGATTTTTGGATTGTTTAATTTAAATTAAGTTCAGAAAATGCTTAATTGTACAAATATAATGCAATACTGCAGTTATTGTGACAGTATAGAAACTGCAGTTCATTAGATTGCTCACAAACCCCTCAGTTAACATTTGCTATTTCTGTCTTTATCCCTGTTGGAATCCAATCTTTTTGACCTTGGACTTCTCTTCCTTTGCACATTTCCACCTCCTGTCATGTGGTTTTGTTATGGTTTACACAGAATGCTTTTTTTTTTTTTTGTTTGTTTGTTTCTTTTATTTTATCTTTAACAAATATGACAAAAAACACACACACACACACAAGAAATATAATATAATAAACTATCAGGGCATAAAAATTGAATCCAAAGACCTTGGTACGAAACCAGATTGAGCTACTGCGTCAGAAATTTGTAAATTCATAGTATGAGACTAGGGCTCTTTAACACAAACACACAAATTGATTTATCTCACGAGCAAGAGTGATTTACAACATCCTCATCCCTGCCACAGTCAGACTAAAGATACCCTGAACACTGTATAGTAGCAATTAAGCCCAGGAAGACACAATTTGTATTCCTCTATTCCCCTATTTACTATGATTAAAATAGAAGATCCATGATCCAATATTAATGACAGGTCGGGGTGCATATCCAGTTATTTATTCCAGGGCCCAGAAACGGCTGTCAGCTGGCCTGCTTACTAGCACAAGAGAACTCAACTGATAGAACAGAGTTGTATTTAAAGGGGATCTTTTTATACATTTTAAATATTTATTAATATTTATTTATCAGTAAAATGTATGCACACCTGCCACTTCTCGGGAAGTGGCCATGACTAACAGGTAGAGAAGCATTTTATACTCCCGTCTGCCACATCATCACATCATTAAATCATACACTTTTGCAGATGAGGTGACATCCATGGCTCCAGCCTTCTCAAAATATTACACTTTTTTCTTAGCTTAAGGACACCGCTCTCATTCCATCCCCAAATATTTGCCACGTACAGAATGAAGATTTTAATAGTAAATATACAGTAGTCCAGACCGAGGAACTGGCCAAATTAAATGAACTACTGGGGAAAACATCAGTTTTGACCTGCAACAGGCAGCTAATATTAAGGTTTAATAAACTCTCATCATCATGATATTTATCCTAACAGTATGGTACATTTTTAAATGCAACATCAGCATAAAAAGGAAATAGAGTACTTTCTTCCTGATGATTGAGCATGTCTTATATGCAAAATTTCGTTATAGTTTTCCTTCCAAAAAAGTAAAAAAAAACGGAAAAAAAAAAAACAAAACAATCCACTGGACTCTGTTTTCCAAGTCCAGGTTGATTGTTTTGTAACTTTTTTACTATGACCTGGATGACTGAGAATATTCAACAGTTATAGTTATCCAGGTATTCTAGATTCATTCTTTTTTCTTAAAGTCTGCTGATTTTTAAGCAATACAATTAAAACACCAGATATAACCAGATTACTAGAATAGAATATAAGCCATGAACAGCAGTATACCGTAATACATAACGTATAGGAGCAACTGGTTTATAGAGACCAAAAATTAAAGCTAGCACGTTGTCACATCGACAAAAAACAGTTTATACATACATAAAAAAACACGTTAGCTTCATACCTGAATGGTGAACAGTTATTTGTGTTTCGCTGCCTTCGACCTCTTCTTCTGACTTGACGAGAATGTCTTTAATGTCTGTAAATGTTTCTTCAGGCTGAGTTAATTGCTCGCTGATAAACTCTTTCCGAGACGAAAATGAAGACATGGTTGCTGCAGATTAGCATATATTCACCTTGAAGAGAAGGTAAAACAAAGTTGCGAGCAGTCTCATTTATTCTCTGGGACGCAGTTTATGACACACCGGAAGTATACGTCATTACATATTCTTCCTGTTCATTTTCCCAGCAGCTGAATGTTAATAAATTGCAATGCTGCCATCTTCTGGATATAATCCGCATTACATGACATCCGTTGCCCAAACGCTGATGCTTATGTTCCAAATTTCTTTATCGATTTTCTTCTTTTTATGCTTCAGTTTACATTCCATTTTTTTTTTATATTTGCATAGGAAAAATGAACTTATGTGGGAAGCTAACTATAAAGGCTCTAAAATAGGAGTCCCAGAAAACAAGAATATAGAATTATATTTTTTCAGGATATAAGTCATGAAAAGAAAGCATGCAGTCCATACAGTCGTCTTTGCAGAAATTAGTCCATGACATAAAGTAAAACAATTGCAATAGACAGTCATACATATTAGGAGGATAACTTTAGGCATATAATGCTTTATTAACTAAAATGTATGTTACATGTGTATAAGAAAAAAAAAGCTGTGCCAGTTCACAGTTAAAAAGAGCAAGCTCAGTTCACATAGATGACAATGAACTAGCTCACATTCACACTTCACTTTTTTTAATGAACCAAGTCACAAACCTATAAATTAACTAGTTGAAGTTCAATGGAGGGCCGTTTATAAAGTTAAGCAGTCAAAATTTATGAGCAATATTTATAGTTATTAAGTGTGTTCTAAGAGGAAAAATAAGGGGGTCATTTTTTTCACTATGTCATTCATTAATTCAATCATTTATAATAAATATTTAGTTTGGAGCTAATTATTTGAGCTAATTATATAGCTCCAAACTAATTATTTGCTAGTTCATTTGGTAAATCAAGCCACAATTGTACACAATAGAACCTCATATTTCACCCTTTAAATGTGTGATCATAATGTATAAAGAAATGGAAAATACTCAATGTAGTCAAGGCATACTCTATGTGCACTGAAGCCTTTATTTATCCAAATTACACAGAACTTCAGAAACATAGAGGTACATCCAGTTTTTACTGTAAAGAACTGCATAAAAAAAGATTTCTTACGTTCCTCATTCAGTAGCAGATATTTCCCAAACATAGGTAGCAAATAGCCATATGTGCAGTCTACATTTCATATCAGGTGAGTTTTAATAGATCAAGAGAGCTAGCTTTGGCTGTTTTCTGCTGTGGTATCTTTGGGTCAATAACACAGCCAGCTGTGAAATTGTTAGAGTGATAACTATCCTGTGATTCAACCAGAAGGGTCATAAACTTTTATGACCCCTAGTAGGTCATGAGGCAGAATCACACGGTTGTGTGACTTCCATCTAGCCAGTTGGTCAATTCACACTATCTTATTACCTGCATCCTCCCAGACAATCATCACTGGGTCTTCTGTTTTAGGCCCGCCTGTTTGATGTTGTAAACTGTTAATAAAAGGCTTGGCCATGAAGGGATCTGTGTGAGAAGGTGCTGGTTTTCCAAGTCAGCAGCTTCTCTCCACTCGGCAGACACTGACGTCACAAAACCCTGTCTCTGTGTTGATCATTTCCTATTAATCTTTTAAACTCACATTTTTCTGGATTAAAACCCAACATTTTTTGGTGGAGGATGCAGGCAACAAGATAGTGTGAATTGACCAACTGGCTGGATGGAAGTCACACAACCGCGTGATTCTGCCTCATGACCTACTAGGGGTCATAAAAGTTTATGACCCTTCTGGTTGAAACACAGGATAGTTATCACTCTAACAGAAATACTGACAAGCATCTTTGCTTTTAAAAGCTTTCAGACTTTCTCTGCTATATGAGAACAGGGTTTGTATAAGATGTATGTATAAGTCGTGAAAGGAAAAATCTGGAAGCCTGTCAGCTTAAGAGAGGTGTTAAAAAAAGTCTGCAGGGACTCTATAATGAAGTTGAATCTTAGCATCAGTAAACTACAAATTTGAGAAACAGAAATCTAATTATTTAGTGTGCAAAATGTGGGGCTGCTGAGATTTAGGTAGTTATCTATGATTATGTAGAAAATGTTATATCAACCATAACTTGCTATTCTTTCAAGTTAAGGGCATGCATTTATTAGCAAGGCTGATTCTGAGGCTGCACTCTGCATTGTTCATAAACGTGTTACTAGTTTATTCTTATCCTGCTCACCAAGCACAATGTCATACTGTATGGTAAAAAGTCAAAGTAAATTCATCATTTTTGAAGAACAAAAAAACAAAAAAAAACAACAACAAAAAAACACTTGTTTTATGTCCTAATTGTTACATGCTGAATTATATTGATTTATGAATAACTGGCCAAAGCTACATGTTGAAGAATTTTAGACATTCATCAGATTATGTCTTTAGATCTAAGTGGGTTCTCATGTGATAGATTAAATGAGCCCTTAGCCTAAAAGTATTTTCACAGGATGAACATGAAAAAGGCTTCTCACCAGTATGTGTGCGAGTTCTCATGTGAACTGTTAAAAAACTTTTTAGAGTGAAACAATTTTTACAATTTACACACGTAAAAGTCTTCTCACCAGTGTGAATCCTTAGATGAACTGTTAAAAAACTTTTGCAGGTAAACTTTTTTCCCCAAGTGTTACACAAGAAAAGCTCCTTACCCGTGTGGCTTTTTAGGTGACCAGCAAAAATATCTTTTTTACTGAAACATTTCCAACAAGTATCATTTGAACATGGCTTCACAGGGGAATGTATTCTCATGTGACAGGTTAAACTGCTTTTTTGAATGTAACTTTTCCTACAGACCTGACATGAGAAAGGTTTCTCAGCGGTGTAGGTTCTCAGGTAAATATTGAAGGTGACAGGATTGACAGGATTTGACAGATTTAATAAAGTTAAATAAGGTAAATAATTTCTGTGAACAAACCATTTAAAAGAACCTATAGTTCTGTTTTGTTATGAGAAAATAAGCTGAAAAGGAAGGAAATGCTGTAAGGTTAGGTAAGGTTAACAGGTGGTTGGCAGGCAACTTGAATGCACATTGCCGCCACCTATTTTATACTCTATCTTTATCTGATATTATAAAAACTATTTATTATTAAATAATATCTTAAACTTTTTGATTTTTCAGTCTTAATTTGATAAATAATACACATTCTCCTACTATCCCATTTATCCATCAATTATATTTTCTTTTCTTACCTATGTATATATTCATTAAATCAATATCCCTTTAGTATTAAAATTCTAAAATACGTTTTTTTTTTTTATTATGAACAGCTGGATTAATAATGAGATTCTCCTGTTCTTCCTCCATATCCAACCTTGTAACTATGTTTTCCCAACTAACATCTTTGAGTCCAAAAACCTTTTGCGTTTGTCTCTCAGTGATTCTGAGTTGATCTGTCTTGTGCTTGGCATTTAATGACATACACTATGTATAAAATTAGTTTCTGTGGTGTCAGAGTGAAGTTTCCTTCTCTATGTACTTCTCTTTGCTTTGGAACTTGATTCTGTGCTTGATTCATTTCTCCTTTCCTTTGTCCTTGAACTCTCTTCACGGCTCATATTCTTCACATTTTACCATGTTGTATCTCCACTGCTTTCTTTCTCACCTCACATCCTCCGTAGTTAACTCTGTAATGGCCTCCACAGTTGCAGCACGATTCTTCAGCTTCTTCCCTGCACTCCTCGATTCTGTGTTCTACAAACTGCTGTCACGTGTCCGTAGCGCAGACACCAGCAGCGCCTGAGTTGAGGTGGAATGAAAGGCCTAACTGGGAAACTCATAAAACTTATTTTAACTCTTTCTGGTAAAATTGGCTCTGCAAACTTGATCAACAGTCACATGCTTGCAACTCTTTTCCCTAGCATGCTTTTATACAGTCTCTATATTTTGTTAACCTTGCCTCATTTAAAAAAAAATCTTTAATCGATCTAAAGTTGTTAACTGGTATTCCTGTTATTACTGCTTTCACTGATTTGTTATCTCCTATTACTTTTATCTCTATCACCTCTTTTTTCCCTATGCATTCAACATCCAATGTTGAGTTTTTTTTGGTCCTCACTTTTTCAGATTATTAGCAAGTTTCCATCTCTGAACTCCTTCACAATTTCAATTAGTTCGATCTTCTTATTGATTTCTCTGGAAATCATAATGGGGCTCACAGGACTCTGTTTTTCCTCAGTACCGAATCTAAGTATTATTTTTATCTCTTCACTCACTACCTTCCACTCCACTCACTCCTTCTTTCATCTGAAATTTTCTCCTCTAATTCCCATTTATGTTCTTGACTGTCAAGACACCTTTACTCCCTTTTACCTCCTCCTCGAGCTCTATATCTCCCTTTCCCGTATGTAACTGTTGTCCAGTCTTCCACATTGTCATCTATATCTGAGTTACCATTTTGTTCCATTCCACCTGCAATGTTTTCAATGCTATTTTAAATCATTATTTTATTTACACATTCAACATGTTTTGTATCACTCAATAAATGTATCATAGTGATTATAAACAAAATCTGAGTTGATAGGAAATGTCAGATCTTAAATGTCATTGTAATTGAAAAGGAAGGTGATGCAACAATAAGGATCAATTTTGGTGTCTTATATAAGCTTTTTTTTAATTAGTGTTTGGTGTCTAATGTTGCAGAGAAAAAATATATGTTTTAGCATATACTTTATTGGCCTATAAATGTATAAATATTTAGCATGTAAATCATACAAAACAGAGAAGGTGATTTCTCTATTTTTTGGGGTCTCCAGATAGTGCTTATCCTGTGCGGATAGGGCTTATTTCTAAGAGCCCTTTAGAGGTTAAGTCTTAGTTTTGTATTGCACTCAACAAGTTTCCTCATTATCCTTAAAATTACGGCCTTGTTACTTTTCCTTCATGATAAATAAGACACAGTTTTATACTTTTGTTCTCTTTTTTTATTTATGTTTTTTTCAAAGTTGAGAAATTATTGTGGAAAATAAGAGAAACAAACTGACATATGCTGTATTATTGTTCATTTCCAGAGACACAATATTTGTGCTCTGGGCCCCAAATGATTAGCTGATCTTACCTTTTACATAAAATAATTTCAAAGGCATTTTTGCAGCATCAGGCTCAATGCTGGATGTTAAAACCATATTTTTTTTTATGAATGTAGAGTGAAATTATCAATACGAAAGACCTATAAAAGAACAACTAATGAATTCTGTTAGCTTCTTATTCCATTAATGGAAAATATGTCCAGGTAAGATAAAAATAAGCCCCACCGTATTCCCGCTCCAGTCCAATAGGTGGCGATAGCGTGCCCTTTATCATCTTGTCTGCCAGCATCCCAGTAGTTCAGCATGGTAAATCATGTGGTAAACGCCACTCGGGACTTCAGATTAGTTCTGTGAATGTTTTCATTTCAGCCTAGGAGAGAGGGTTTGTCAACAACAAGTTAACCCACACTGAAGAAAAAGTCACAGCATTTGAAGAAAACGACTTAAAGGCTGATAAAGAGATGGACGATGAGCGCAGACGGATGGATTTTGCCCCGAAACCCAAAGTAGTTTTAAACCGAGCATGTAAGAAACGGAAGCTGTGGTTTATGAATGAAATAGTTTAGGGTAGTGTTTCTCAAGCTTTTTTTGACTTGTATATCGCTTTGTGTATTTTATTTCACCATAAGTTCCCATCTCAGTCTGTCCAAAAGTGGAATGAACAATAATTAATCATAAAATCTAAAAAAAAAATTAAATAAATAAAAAAAATTAACTCAATCTTTTAATTTGAGCTAGCACTTCTTACGCATTTGATGCTTTTCATCTAAAAAAGAAAAAAAAAAGAAAAAACATAAATATGCCAGGAAGTCAGTAAATAATCGAAATAAATACAAAAGAAAATCATATTATAAACCTGTATTTATAAATCTGGAGCTCCTCTGAGTAACTCCCTTGTAATCACAATTAAACTTGGTGAACTGAGAAGAAAACACAAATTATAGTCAGGCTGACTTACTTTTACTTTGTTTTCATCAAGACACCTGAGCTGAGAAAAACAGCTGATCCCAGGCTGTTCCCTACATTCTTCTTTAAGCCTGTTGCCTATGATCCCTGACGTCAAACGTCAAACGTGTCCATGTTAAATGAGTCCAACCGACAGATCTCTATTTATTCACTGGGGGGGTTGCTGATTGTCTGTTGTTTTTTTTTTTTTTTTTTGAAAAATAAAGAATATCAATGACAATCTCAAAAATACGTCAATAATGAACATTACAAGAAACAAGAAACAAATACTCCTATTAACTCCAATAAAAATTAGAGGCTAGAACAAGGAAGAGAAAGGGGGGGTGTATATATATATATATATATATATATATATATATATATATATATATATATATATATATATATATATATATATATATTAAGGAGAGGGGACTAACTGAAATTATTCCAATAATTCAGACAATTTATTTGCTTTAAGGTTCTGCGTCTTTTTCAGACATCGGGAGGAAAGTTCGTTTTTGAGAGCAGAGAATGAGAGGGAGCATTTTGCATAACAACATTTATGGATATAATATTTGGTTATAATCCTCAAAGTATTAACTAAGAATTCCACCTTTTTTCATTAATATATAAACCAAACGGAATTATTTGTAAGGAATTAAAGTCCACATTTATAGATCTAGAAGATAGAAAGATCTGAAGTTGATCCCATAGGTTTCTTACTCTTTAAATTCATTTAACATATGATTAATAGTTTCAAATTGAGTTGTACAGAAACCACAATTCCCAGCATTGAATTAAAATCTCTCTCTTAAGTGCTCATTTGAAGGATATGTGTCATTTATTATTTTAAATTGTAATTCTTTATATTTAGGAGGAATTGGGAAATTCAAAAATTTGTCCTAATTTTGGTTATCGTAGATTTGTTAAAATGTTGTAAGAGAAATGTACGTTTAGCTCGACCAGGGTACATATTATGTATAGAATGTTGATTCAAGAACCTGTTGGTGCATTTATTATCTCTAATGTCCACATGCTCAATTTGAAGCTTATGGAGTCTCGGAATAAAGAAATTAGATATACTGTTTTAACTGACATAAGAAGAACATTAGGTATACTACGTAAAACTTTATTGTAAGTTGTTAATGCACAATATATCATCTTTCTTTTTCCCCCTTCTAGACCTTCATGGTGTCACTGTGAAGATAGAAGATCCAGGTGACCAGTTGCTTTGTGACCAAGAGGGGATCCATTTGGTGAAAGAACAACCCCTGCAGATTAAAGATGAGCAAGGGGAACAAGGACATAAGCAGATAAAGGTTGAACACAAAGAGCGAGAACATCTGCAGATAAAATGGGAACAAGAGGAACAAGACTGTCAGGGGATAAAGGCGGAGCAGGAGGAGCGAGAACATCAGCAGCTAAAGGGGGAGAAGGAGGAGCGAGAANAGGAGGAGCGAGAACATCAGCAGCTAAAGGGGGAGAAGGAGGAGCGAGAATGTCAGCAGATAAAGGGGGAGCAGAACAAACTCCACGGAGAAGGAGGAGCGAGAATGTCAGCAGATAAAGGGGGAGCAGAACAAACTCCACATTAGTCAGAGTGTATTAAAGCAGGAAACTGATACCATGACAGGGATTCTTATAAATAAGGAAGAATCCCACTCTGAACCAGAACTAAAAGGGAACAAAATCCTTTCTCATGAATCCCATAATGCAGATATCCATTATCATGAAAACTCTGGTTCAAAGAGCCAGGGAAAGCAAACTAAAAACAAAAAAACGAAGCAGACATCAAGAAATAAAACTAACCATCAGTATAGCCCAAAAACAAAAGGTTGCGAGAATGCTCACAAGAATAAGGAAATGTATTTCTGTGAAATATGTGACAAACGGTTTTCTTGTAATAGTCTTTTGACTAAACACATGGAAATTCACACGAGCGAGGAACCCTGTATGATCTCTGTTAAAATGAGAACTTGCACGGGTAAGAAGGTGCTCTCATGTGATCTTTGTGGAAAGACTTTCAGTCATAAAGGTAATCTAACTAATCACAAGAAAACTCACTCTGGTTCATTTGCATGCTCAACATGTGGATTGGAATGTGGTCATAAAACCTCTCTAACCGTTCACATGAAAACTCACACAGATGGGAGTCCTCTTGCATGTGACCTTTGTGGAAAATGTTTCACTCGAAAAGAGACTTTAATTGTTCACATCAGGTCTCACACTGGTAGTAAGCCTTTCTCATGTGGGACCTGTGGCATTGGTTTTATTCGTAGACCTGCTTTAACTGCTCACATGAGGACACACACAAGTGAGAGGCCTTACTCATGTGAGGTTTGTGGAAAAGGCTTTTTTATAAAGTGTGGGCTAAAACATCATCTAAAAATTCACATGGAAAAGAAGCCATTCCTGTGTGGGGTTTGCGGTAAAAGTTTTACTCAGAATTGGAAGCTAAGAGAACACAAAAGAACTCACACAGGTGAGAGGCCTTACTCGTGCGAGGTTTGCGGAAGAGGATTCTCTTCGAGTAATGCGCTAAACGGTCACTTGAAAACTCACACAGGTGAGAAGCCTTTTTGGTGCAAGGTTTGTGAAAAGGGGTTTGTTCGAAAGGGTGTGCTAAAGGATCACCTTAAAACTCACACAGGTGAGAGACCTTTCCTATGTAGAGTTTGTGGAAAAGGGTTTATTCGAAAAACTAGGCTTACTGAACATGAGAGAACTCACACAGATGAGAAGCTGCCGTACACGTGCATGATTTGCAAAAAAGGATTCTCTTCAACGATTGGGCTAAAATACCATTTAACTACTCACACAGGTCAAAAGCCTTTCTGTTGTGAGGTCTGTGGACAAGAATTTGCTCTGAAAAAATACCTAACGGATCACAAGAGAAATCACACGAGCGAGAAGCCTTTCCTCTGTGGGGTTTGTGGAAAAGGGTTTATTAGGAGAACCAGGCTAAATGAACATGAGAGAACTCACACGGGTGAGAAGCCTTACTTGTGTAAGGTTTGCGGAAGAGGATTTGCTATATCTTCTGGGCTAAAATATCACTTAAGAACTCACACGGGTGAGAGGCCTTTCCGGTGTGAGGTTTGTGGAAAACGGTTCATTCGAAAGAGTGCGTTAAATGTTCACAAGAAAATTCACTCCGAAGAGAAGTCTACTGTGTGACGGTGTTGGTGCCTAAAAAAAAATCACTTCTCTATATACAGTATTTTAGGAATGTCAGTCCAAATCTCCGATATATTAAAAAAACTCATAAAGAACTGTTGCTTCTATCTACTTTTGTGTAAAGTTTTTGTAACTCTTTGGTGAATGTGTTCTCCATTTGAGAAATATTACTTGACTTTCTATCATTCCAACCCACAAAATAAGTAATAAAAGCGTTTGATTAATGCTGATGGTGTATCGGAGTAATGTTGATATTGGTCAATACTTAAAACTGCAATATTGGTACGGCATCAGAAAATACAAAGTTGTATGAGGACACCCCTGACATGTATGTTGTTTATATTTACAAGGAACAGCAAATGAGCCACCTTTGAAGCTATTAAGCTTGTAATCGGAGTAAAATTGGCACCCTAGGAATTAGGGCTGGACCATAATTCAAAAGTCAGTGGTCAGTTCAAAGAACCTAATTAATGCCAATGTTTTTTTGTTTTCATGTACACAGTTTTAAACACCAAGTTTATTTTGTGTTCCAAATCTGAACTGAAAGCTTAGCTTTCTACAGGTTATCTAGTAGCCATAGCATGCTAATGTTTTTGAACCAGAAACACTTCACTTCTGTTTAAAGTTTATGTAACCCACTGGCTGATATGAATTGTATTATTACAAGATGAGGAATAAAAGTAAGCATGATTTTTACTGATATTGTATTGAATCTATATAGGTATTAGTCAATAATCAAATCTGCAATATAGGTATCACATGGGAAATGGGAAGAGTTGTATCAAGATATACTTTATTCCATAACTGGTTTAAACACAAATAAATAGCGTTGCTTTTATGGTCAACTCATTACACATCATTGCATAAATATGACAGAATAGTCCTTCAAAGTGAGTTTCCTGGTGTTTAAACAAATAAATTCTTTATATGCATTTTGAGGGTGTCTCAACAAAGCTAAATGGTAAGGAGCAGGATTTCCTTGATAAACTCGAAGTTTCCTCTATCTTTTACATCCAATCGGACCTATAATCACACCTGTAAGAGCATCTTAAAATTCTCCTCTTGTAATGAAGAACAAAAAAAAAAACTACACAGATTTTTCTTTGAGATTCACCTCTCCCTGCTGCAGCCAGTAGCCAAATAAACCTCCCCACAGCCTTTTGAAGACACAAAATTAGCGCAAATTACCTTTTTGGATTACCTGCATACCCCCCACCCACCCCCCTCTATCAGTGTGGTCTAGAACCATAGATCTATATCCAGCCATTCAGCAAAAATCCTTCTAAATGGCTGTACATCTTATTTTGGCATTTGACCAGATGAGCCCTTGAATGATATATTTCCTACTGTAAATTAAGTTTGAAAAAAAGTCAAGAAAGTTAACAATTATATTTAGGTTTATAAGCTAAAAAATGTCAGTTCCAGTATCAGCATAAATGCCTCTAAGGTTAAGTTGTACCAAATAAATGTTTTTTTTCCAAACAGATATTTTTCTTAATATATTCAGGCAAGTTGGCGTTCTTGTTATTACATTGACATTCTTTTTTACCATCAAAATATCCATATTTTTTTTAATTTACAAAGGTATAAGGTCTTTTCCTGGATTCTAATAACACTATTGGATTGAAATGTTGATTTTCAAAGTATTTCACTGAGTGCCCTATAAAGAGTTGAGCCTAATGGAGTCTGTCTGCATAGTCTCAGTGGACGTTGAGGAATAAAGAGGATCCTGTAATGAAAAATGTATGTATAATCAGAATATTGTTTAGATATTTTAGGAAATAATATTCTATAATGTATATTAAAAAACACAACTATTATTTTTTTATTATTATTATTATTATTATTATTTATACTTTTCCTTTTTAACTCGTATTATTTTTGTCCAGTAGGGGGCGGTACGCTCCATCACAGTTTGTTTTCCATCCTCTTCTGAACGAAAACCGGAAGCGGGGCAGTACTGCTTCCGTAAAAGAAAAGAAAATCAGAAAATGGACGAGATATGAAGTTGAGAAACGTCATTGCGGCAGTAGCTTTTTTTTCCCGAGACAGTTATTTACCGAGCAGCACACAGCTGTTGCGTTTTAAAAAATAAATAAATTAATTTCTTTCTTGATCAACATTCCAACAAAGCGATGGTGACGCACTAGTTAGTTACACCCTAACACACGTTAAAGAAGAGGACTACAACTATGATCAGAGCAGCTTTTATTTTTCCTCAGATCATCCTGGAGAAACGCATTTGGGCTGTAAATACATAGAGGATGCCATGGAAAGAATGGCGGTTACTGCTGCTGAAGAAACATTTACTGACTTTAAAAAGATCATTAAGGCTGAAGAAGAAACGGATGATCAGAGCAGACTGCCAGATTTCAGACGGACACCCCAGATAATATTACACCGAATAGGTATGAAACACCCTCAGTAAAAACCAGTACTGGAGTGGAGGAAGGATGACATCCTCCTTCTTAAAAAAAAAAATCTTAAAAATCATCCCCCCATACCATCCCCTGTGACATTTTATTACTGAATATGTAACATTTCTACTCTATATTAACAGTCAATATGACACAACATGTCATATGTAGCAAGTAGCAAGCCATCTTTTATCAGAATATGTCAGCTGATAGAAACATTTTACACTAGAAACACCACAAAGACAGACACCAATGTCTTCAAAGCTGCTGTGATGAAAGGTGGATTCCTTGTCATGACATACTACATCAGACTAAAGTAATAGAAANACACCACAAAGACAGACACCAATGTCTTCAAAGCTGCTGTGATGAAAGGTGGATTCCTTGTCATGACATACTACATCAGACTAAAGTAATAGAAAAAAAATCAGTCAACATACATGCAAACTTAAATTGATTAATTAAAATGAGTCAAAAAGTACAAAGAAGAGGAATCAAAATAAAATGGCTAAATCAAAACTGATTAGAAATACTTATTATTTAGGTTAAACTATTTCTTAAATAGCATAGATGTTCACCCTTTATGGGTATCTCTCTTTGACTGGATAAACAAGTTTGCTTGCTTCTGGGATGATTTTATTCACCCTTTTAATAACTTTTACTGTTTTTCTGTCTCACTTTCCTGACCTTAGATTCTCAAGCTGCCTTTTAGGATGTATGCAGCACATTAACCTTCCTGTACAGAGGAATTTATTGCAGCCTCTTTAAAAAAAAAAAAAAAGAAACAGCAATATGAAGATAATAAAATGAACGCAAATAAAGCTGTGGTTTCAGAATAGTTGCAGCAGAAAATCCAGTTCAGTTTAAGCAACACAACATTTTCCTTTACAGTTTTTGAAAATTACAGTAGAAAAAGGCTCTCTTAAGCTCTATTTTGACCCTTATTTTCTTTCTTTCCATTTTCCATTTCAGACTTCCCTTTAAAGGATGTTGTAAAAGAAGAGATTACTGAAGAAGAGCTTCTTTTTAACTCAAAAAGCAAATGTTGTTTGAAACAGGAAGAAGGAGAACCGCTGAGCAGAAAGGGAGAGCAAGAGGAGCTGGAATATCAGGAGATAAAAGTTGAGCAAGAGGAGTTTGCATTTCATCAGATAAAAGAAGAACAAAGTGAGGAAGTACATCAAAGGATAAAACACGAGGAGATAAAAGACGAGCAGGATGAAATGTCTCCTCACCATGAAGACAAAGTACTTTGGGAGATAAATGAGGATCAGGAAAAGCTTCAACAACACCTAATAAAAGAAGAACTGGACAGCGAAGATAAAGATCATGTTGTAGTGAAGCTGGAGACTGATATCTTCTTGGTGACTCCTATGAGCGATCAAAAATACCAACAAGAATTCAGTAGAGAGCTACTTACCTCCCAGCCCCAGGATCACAAAGGGAAGAATCATAAATACTTAGGATCAAAAAGAGATAAAGAGTTGAAGCAAAATAAGAGGTGTTTGAAATCTAGACAGCCAGATGTCAGCACTGATTGTACAAAACAAAATAGGCCCCAAACAACTCAGGATCAACATTCGTATTCTTGTGGGATGTGTGATAAAAGGTTTATTGAAAACAGCTTATTGACTGAACATTTAAAAAATCACACAAACAAGAGGCCTTTTTCATGTGAGATCTGTGGAAAAGGTTTTAGCCAACCAGGGCATGTAACTGTTCACATGAGGACTCACACAGGTGAGAAGCCTTTCTCCTGTAAGATTTGTGGAAACACTTTCAGTCAAAAAAGCTCTTTAATTATTCACTTCAGAGTTCACCGGGATGCAAAACCTTTCTCGTGTGATATTTGTGGAAGACCTTTCAGTCAAAAAAGCTCTTTAATTCTTCACATGACCTCTCACCCTGGTTGGAGGCCTTTCTCATGTGAGGTCTGTGGAAAAGGCTTCTGGAGAAAAAGCTCCCTACCCGTTCACATGAGAACTCACACAGGGGAAAAGCCTTTTCTGTGCAATCTTTGCGGAAAAGGTTTCAGACAAAAAAGTTATTTGGCTGCACACATGAGAGCTCACACGGGTGAGAGGCCTTTTTCATGTGAGGTTTGTGAAAAGGGGTTTACTCGAAAGTGCCATTTATCTGATCACATGAGGATTCACACAGGCGAGAAGCCTTTCTCCTGTGTGACCTGTGGAAAGAGTTACAGAATAAAATGGCACCTAACAAAACACATCACAACTCACAATGGTCAGGACTCTTGGGTACAACCTGTGGAAGAAGATGAAGCCATGAAAACTGATTAAATTTACACAAATTTGACAGTAATTGTATCAAACCTATGATTTTTGTCTTAACATATAATTTATTAAATTGAGAGAACTTCGCAAAAGGGAAAGATTCTTTATTTGTTTCCAAAATATGTCTGATTTATTCCCTAACTGTACTTTAAGAAATAATTTGTAAGAATTCCTATAAATCACCCAAAAAAGCATAATTTCTGTCAACAAGCAAGAACGTATTTTAATATCCTGTCCAGGGAAACAATAGCTATGGGGTTTCTGAGTCTCTTTGTTTCTTTTAGTCGGCACCAACCCTCAAAAGCTGGACTGGTGTTCATCATTATCATTCTGCTAAAGCGCGGAGAAGAAGCCATTTCTGAGCCCTATTATGGAGCTACGATATGTGGAGCCACTATATGTGGCAACATATAGTATGCCTGAGCTACTACAGCCTACTTTTCCTTTTTATACAGTCTTAATGATCCAAAGTTGGAATTGTAATCAAAATAAATATATATTTTGGACTTGTCAAATGTATAAAACAATTATTCATAAACTACATATCTTGCAGTAAAATTAATACATTATTTCCAAACCAGTGTAGATGTTCTGTGGATATATTATCATTTTAAAAAAAGTTAAAAGATTTGATAAAAACGTATCTATGACCTTATAATATCTTATTTCCCTGTCAGCACAAACAGAGGCTAAGCTGACAGATATGAGCCCCTTGGAAAGAGTGAAGAAATTTCAGTTTTGTGGTTTTCCTTATTATGCATTTTTGTTCTCAAAATGAAGTCTTGAATTTATTTAAAAAAAAAGTGAAAATACATTTTTTTTTAATTACTTCTATTTATTTATTTTACTTTTGTGTCCTTCAACAATGCAGATATCAGTAATCCATCTTCTAATGTTTATCACGAGTTTAAACATTAGGCTGGAAAGATTCACTACCCTCTACAGCCACCAGAGGGAGTCATTTCGACTGACTGGTATACTTAATGATAAATACAAAGATTATGTGCGCTTGTGCTTCTTACTTTAATATTTCTGAGTAGTAATAAGGACTTTACGGCAATAATAAAGTGCAATAATAAAAGCTAAGTCAGTTCAACAATATTAAACCCTAATCCACTTTGAAAAGTTTAAATAAAAACTGACCAAGAATTACCAGCAGAATCGTTTGCCAGTAACATAATGAGGAAGGCACATAACTTTTGATAATACAATTATGTCAATTAATAAAAATAACTCATACAAATTTTGATGTTTTGTACAGTGCTGTTAAGAGTGATCCTTTGTTATTAGAGGAAATGCCAAAAGTGACCCTTCTATTATTATTTCAATATTGCAAACAAAACTGCATTTAAAGGCACAGTGATCAGGATTAACGTGTTGGTTAACATTTTTTATAAAAAAAAAAAAAAAAAAAAATACATTTCAGAAATGAAAAATATATAAATTACACTGCTTTCAGACCTAATTTCTGAATTATTAAAAAAATATATTATTTTATATTATCTATTCTTAATTCCTTTGCCAAATTTAAAGGTACCAGCTCACTTAAACAAGAGAGCTTAAAAAGACCTGGTATCAAGGAAAATTGATACCAGGTAGTTTTTTTTAATCAGCATCAGTTCATCAACAACAGTGGTAAGAGACATATTTTAAAAGCTCTGTAAAAAAAAAAAAAAAAAATTCTTGATCTCATGTAGGTCTCTTTACGTAAGATGGTGAAAGGAAACAAATGTATTGATGCCATCTCAAAAAAAAATCACATGAACAAAAAAATGCTGAGTGCTCAAACACAGCAAATTTAGAATATAGGATGTAATATATAGATATTTCAAACAATGAGAAAACATGCAACACTATGGTGTGATAAATATAATATAATAGAATCTGTCCAGTTTATGTTAATTGAAATATTAGCAATTAGCAAGTAATAGTAAGACCTCTTCAACATTGATGTAACTGATTCTCAATATTTTCCTCATGAAACAATACAATTCTGGAGATTATATGCTTAAAACAAAAGTTGAAATTAGTAAAAAAAAAATAAACACCTTTGTCTGTGATTTTTTTAACTCTACTCATTCCGGTCCAGTAGGTGGCGCTGTGCTCACTTTACAGATTCTAATCCGCCACTAAAATGGAGAGAAGAAAATGCTTGAGATTAGGCAGTTGAATGGAAGGCGTTATTATTAGAGTTTTTGGGGATGTATTCTGTGGATTTTGTTGTAAGTCCACCTTTAGTTCAACCTTAAACAGTTTAACAACAAATAAAAAACAGCTCCTTTCAGTCTCGAAGCAATAAGCGGGAAGATAAACCGCGTCAAAGGAGAGGAAAAGGATTACAGCAGCGGATTAGGACGGGCTGCCTGGATGCAACATTAGCAGCTTCTCCGCCTCAATTCACCCTACAGACTCATCTAGGCTTCGTAGATGAAACGGCAGGAAGAATGTCTTCAGTTCAGTCCCAGACAGATTTAATCGACGCGCAGTTGCGTCCAACTGCAAACAGTTTCACGGACACTCAAGGAATCTTTATCAAGGCCGAAGAAAACATTGATGATCAGAGCAGAATGCTCGATTCCTCCTGGAGCCCCAAGATGATCTCACAGCAATATGGTATGAAACACTCCTACAATTATCAAAGAACACCTGGATGCGGTTTAATGTGATGCTTTTATAAGCATTATTAATTACGGAGACCCAGTGTGTTGATTAAAAAATAATAACGGTCCACTTGAAATAGATATTAAAACTGTTTTAAAGTCTGAATCCTGTGAGATTCACACTTGAAATAAACTGTTTTAAAGTCTGAATCCTGTGAGATTCAGACTTCCTTTTTTTTAATGAATAAAAAAATAAAAAAGAGAGATTCAGACCTCCAGGTTCAAAACGTCCTAAACAAAGCTCATTACCAGAGGCGTAGCTATAACATTTTTATAAGGGTGGCCAGGGACAGGCGCCAGAACCTCAGCATCAATCTGTACACTGGTTCAACAGGAAAAAGAAGAAGCACAATGTCCATATTCGCTAAATAAACACTAACTATACTTTCCTGCAGTCTTTTTCTAACAAATAGACGTATATATTTCAACATCCATGCTTTCTAGATTAAAGGCGCAGTGGAAACAATTCTTTCAGATTTGAGTTCTGGGTGAACATCTTTTCCATTGTCATAACTTACCTACTTTTATCAATAATCATTATGCATAAAATTGACATTTACGAGTACTAATATCTACGTAAATTGATTATTTTATACGTTTTTACTAGGGCTGGTTATTTTCGCCAAAGTTCTGATTCGATTCTATTTTGATTCATACAGTTCTAAATTGATTAATTTCGATTCGATCTGTTTTTACAATAATGAAAGTGGTTCAACTGTGTTTCAAAATACTCTTGTATTTTGTTTTTTTCTTGTCACATTAAACACAAAGTACAAACTTGTTAATACAACAGTTTAAACATGAGATGTGCACAAAACTGTATCAAAAGTGCAAACTTGTTTGTGAAAAGTGACAAAGTGAAGCCTCACTCGAGCAAGCAGACGCGACACAGCGGAGACACAGTAGACATTCATGATCTGCATTATCTTCATTGAACAAACTATATTTGCAGCGTTGTCTGTAACAACTACGGGGTGTTTGCTGGTCAGCCCCCATTTGTTAATGTCTTCAGTCAACCTATTGGCTATATTTGCAGCTGTCTGGCTTGAAATAATCTTGAGTGCATCTTTCCTGCTCATTTGAATGTGAACGTCATGCACGTCACTATAAAGTGAATCGAACTCATTCCCTAGACATCGATTTAGCAAAAATGTAAAGTAATCGATTCAAATTCGATTAAATCGATTTTTTTACCCAGCCCTAGTTTTTAACTATAATAGTTATCTATGATTTTACTGAAGACTCCTAGATGACTTGCAGAGACACATCATCAAAATCTAGTTCTGAAAAGAGCATGAATTCTGTACTTATCATCTTTAATATTAGCACATTGATGTGCATAATTAACAAAAGCGTTTTTGTTGTCAAGTAATTGTTAATGTATGAAAAATTTAAATGTTTTGAATTTTCCAATTGAGAATTTTACTGCTGCAACCATCTGTATTAGAAGGGAAAAATGGTAGGGGTGGACAATGTTTGGCTAAAGGGGGCCATGGCCACCCCTGGCCCCCCATCTAGCTCCGGCCCTGCTCATTGCTTGTTGAAATTGGGAGGAAAACTGAATACTCAATCGTTTGAATAAAAAATGTCCTGTTTAATTCCGCCTGCCAGTATTTCTGTATCATAAGAGATCAAACCTGTAAATCTCAAATAAACAGGGCTTGGATATATTTAAGCGATGCGCAATTGAATAAATTGAATTGAATAAAGCTTTACTGTCTTTCATTTAGGCAATTCGTTTGCAGCAAGTAAAGAAAGATTTACAGTAGGAGAAAAATGTTGGTATATAAATTGAGCATGAATAATTGTGATGAAATACAACAGACCATCTAAAATAAAGGGGGAAACTGCAATTAAAAGCTGGGGTCAAAAAGGCTTATTAAATGGGCTTGGATCAGCAGTGGTTATAAAGTCTTAACAGCTAATGTAAGTAGAGCAGTAGTCTTATTGCTGAATGAGACTTCTATGACTATTGTGGCATCAGCCATCTTCTATGGAGCCTTCTGTTGGACCTGTGGCTTATCTGTAGTTGAGAGAAAGGCGCTGGATAAGCTGATCAGGAACGCCAGCTCTGTGAATGGATGCCCTCCGGACTCAGTGCAGGAGCACCATTAGCACCATTAGATAACAGCTACTCAGTCAAGATGCTGGGAGGAAGGATCTGTGATAACGCTCACTGGTGCATTTAGGGTGCAGCAGTCTGTCACTGAAGGAGCTCTCCAGTTCTGCAACAGCTTCATGCATGGGGTGGGACTCATTATCCAACAGAGATGTTAATTTTGTTAGGATCCTTTGTTTCCCACCTCCTGCACTGAGTCCAGAGGGCATCCAATCACAGAGTTGGCCATCCTGATCAGCTTATCCAGCTGCTTTCTCTCAGCCACAGATAAGGCACTGCTCCAACACACAGCTCCATAGAAGATGGCTGATTCCACAACAGAGTCACAAAAGCCCCATTTACACTACCTTCTGAAAACCGATCTGTGCTTAGATTGGATCAATTAATCGTGTTGAGCTCGGTTCCTTAAGATCATTTACACATCACGCTAGCATGGTTCCTCACCTCCTATTGACGATCTACAGTACTACTGCTCTCTAGAGGTAAACAAGCAAACCAACATGGCGGCGCCCGTAACATTCAAGAAGTTATGTTTTGTTAGAATTTGCGATATTTCGTTGTCTGTGGAGAGTCAGGAGAAGGAGGCAGCCCTGAATTTACTTGACAGGGTCTGCTTTTGGGAAGTGAATACGACAAACAATAGTAGGGAAACTAGTATTTTCATGAATGTCTGAAGTTTCATGATTAAAGAGGCTGACTGTAAGGAGATGATGCGGTCTACTCATGTGCTCTTTGTAATCTGAGAACCAGGCCAGAACCGAACCATGCCGAGCCCTACTGTTGAACTAGTTCCACTTTAGCGTGGTTCGTTGTGTCTGGCACAATCCGGTTCAGTTGTGCCTGCCACACACTCAACAGTTATCTCAGTTCACATGAGAATTCTCGGTTATCTCGGCAAAGTTTGAAAAGGGTAGTGTAAATGGGGCTCATGTCAAATCCACTGAACGGCGTGAGAACTTCTGACCTGAAGTACATTCAGGAAAATAGGCTACAGGCCTGAAGATGAATCAGTACTGAACTACTGAGGTGTCACTCTGCTTATCAAACAATGTTTTAAATAAAAAGTGTCAAATAAAAAGTCTATTTTAAAGATATTTTTCAGTAAAAATATACAAAATGTCTCTAAAAGTGGCCAACGGTCAAAGGTTTGACCAAAGGCTTGTCTGAGTTTGTCTCATGTCATACAACCTTTTAATGAACTTTAAAATTTTTACGATTTACAACCCATATAAAATGCCTAATCTTTTCCAAGCTCAAAACATTTATGTACTGAGATATGAAGACTAAATAAATGTATCATTTTTTAAAAATTAATCTAAAAGCGAATCATCAGGTTAATCGATAACTGAAATAACTGGTAGCTGCCTGTCCTGTCTTGACCCTCGGTTGTTACAGTTTTACAGAGCTTATTTATTCAGTCAGGTTTAAACATTGCAACATTTTCCTGTACAGTTTTTAAGATGATTTTCTGACCTTTATTTTCAAATTCTTTTCTGTCTGCCTATCCAGGCACCCCACAGATTTCTGTCGTGAAGGAAGAGGTCTTTAATCAAGAAGGTTCCTCTAACTTGGACCAAGAGGAAGTAGAACCGCTCAGGATAAAAGAAGAGGAGAAGGAGCTGGAGATAAAAGAAGAGCAAGAGGAGCTATCATACCAGAAAATAAAAGTAGAGCATGATGAACTAGCATATCAGGAGATCAAAATAGAGCAGGATGAGATAGAATATCAGGAGATAAAAGAGGAGCAGGATGAGTTGGAGTATCAGGAGATAAAGGTGGAGCAAGATGAGGTAGAGTATCAGGAGATAAAAGCAGAGGACAACAGTCAAGATAAAGATGAAGTTGTGGTAAAGTTGGAGAGTGATGTCTTCACAATCACACCTATTGGTGATCAAAAATACCACTCTGAATTAAACAGACAGCTCATCTGTCAGTACCCTGCACAGGCTGAGGTCCAAGAGCAAGTAGGAAACTATCATGAAGATTCGCCATCAAAAAGAAATGTACAGCGAAAACAGAAATCTAGGCAGCATAAGGACAATGCTAAGAATACAAAAGAAAATGGGATCCAAAAAGTGTATTCTTGTAGAATTTGTAATAGAAATTTTCCCAAAAACTGCCTATTGACTAAACACATGAAAAATCACACAGACGAGAGGCCTTATTTATGTAACATTTGTGGAAAAAGTTACGGTCGAAAAGAGCATTTAACTGTACATATTAGAACCCACACGGGTGAGAAGCCTTTCTCGTGTAAGATTTGTGGAAAAGCTTTCAGTCAGAAATGCATATTGACTGATCACATGAGCATTCACACTGGTGAGAGGCCTTTTTTGTGCAAGGTTTGTGGGAAAAGTTTCCGTCTAAAAGCCGATGTACGCCGTCACATGCTAACCCACACGGGTGAAAAGCCATACACTTGTGAGTTTTGTTCAAAAACCTTTTGTCGTAAAGGTCGTTTAAAACTTCACATGAGCAGTCACACAGGGGACAACCCCTTCTTGTGCAATATTTGTGGGGATCGTTTCTGTGACAAAAGTAAATTAACGGATCATATGAAAATTCACATTGGAGAGAGGCCTTTTACTTGTAAGATTTGTGGGAAAAGCCTTAGTCGAAAAGGTTGTTTAACCCTACACATGAAAATCCACACAGGTGAGAAGCCTTTCTCCTGTGAGATTTGTGAAAAAACGTTCTGTAAAAAAGATTTTCTTATTGTTCACATGAGAACTCACACAGGTGAGAGGCCTTTTTCATGCATGGTTTGCAACAAGTCCTACATTCAAAAAAGTCACTTGACCGCCCACATGAGAACTCACACAGGTGAAAAGCCTTTCTCCTGCTCATTGTGTGGAAAAAGTTTCCATTACAAACTCAGCTTGACTGAACATTTAAATATTCACACAGGTGAGAGACCATTCTCATGCAAGTTATGTGGAAAATGTTTCCGTGAAAAATGTCATTTAACTGTTCACATGAGAACTCACACAGGGGAGAAGGCTTTCTCTTGCATGGTTTGTGAAAAACGTTTCCGTGAAAGATATCATTTAACCGTTCACATGAAGATTCACACCGGTGAGAAGCCTTTCTCATGCATGGTTTGTGACAAGCGTTTCCGTAAAAAAGGGCATGTCACAGTTCACATGAGAATCCACACCGGGGAGAAGCCGTATGCGTGCAAGATCTGTGAGAAACGTTTCTGTAAAAAATGTAATCTAAATCTTCATATGAAAACTCATACGGGTGAGAATTCTGTCTCATGCTAGTTATCGGGAAAAACATTGCATGGAGATTTTAAACTTAAACACCATGATTGACACAGATGAGAGGCCCTTTTCATTAAGGATTTATAGAGAAGAGAGCCAATTGAATCAACCGCAGTGAAGTTTCACCAGTTTGCTAAAAAGTAAGGCAACTGTAAATAAGAGGATTTGCTCAGGCTAGATCCCTTAGTGATGTATGATCTGTGGAAAATGTTTAGTTAATTTAGTCCAACAGCCTCTCTTGAGTAGAAATGTTACAGCATATTTCACAAAAAAAAAGTTTTCTTGTGTATATGTAATGTAAATATTTCTTAAATAAAAAATTAACTCATAAATGAACCTTTAAACTTCAAATAAGTTTTCAAGTGTAAGATGAAAACTTTTGTGTGGTAATCATTTCCAGAAAAGATCTAAGTTTTGTTAAATTGCCTAAGAAAAGTTTTTTTTTCTTGATTCTGCTCTTTCCTGTTAAAGCTTATTTGTGCACATTTCTAGTCTTTGATGAATGAACCCCAACTAACTGGAGACATGAAAACATACTTAACAAAATGGCGGCCTCTCTCAGAGTTTCAGTGGAGTAGAGTTTTTAAAGTCCTTATAGTCTGCATTAATTGAAAATCTGGTTGATATGCAATCAAAGTACAAGTACTTTGACAGGCAATGTAAGTTTTCACAACTGTACTGTGGTAGCCAATCAAAATTTCCCCACTTTCCTTGATGGGCCCTTGACTGGTCCTCTACAATTACTTTTTAAACATCAATCTTTGCACTAAAATATTCTTTCTGTCATGATTTGTAAACATTAAGATCTAAAGAGAAGTGTTATCTCCTGGTCAGTCACTGTAATTCAGTGAAAGGGTGGAGTCAGAGTAAAAAAAATATGCCCATCCAGGAGAAGCCCAGTGGCTGGAAGTTGAAAAGGAAAGTAGGCTGCCATTCGACCAGCTTTTGACTGGGAAGGGCCATTTTGAATGGCTTCTACTGAATCACAAGATGACACAAATAAAATGCATACTCCAAGCCTTGTTGTTGTGCCTGTTGTAAGGAAGTTGCAGCTCGTCTCTGTCCAGCTGTCTTTTATGTTACAAGGATAATTTAACATTTATGCTTCATACTACACCAGTTTTACTGTTTCAGATGTGTGCAAATCAGATTAATAAAAAGAAATATCCATGAATTGAAATTTTTGTTTGATTATTGAGCTTTTTTTTTTAAATGTTTCTAATGGGTTTTGAATTGTACATATACAGTAACAACAGAACAACACTTGTACAAAATGACAGTAACATAGGAAGAAATAAAAAAAAATCAGGTAACATATGTAAATAAGAAGCTTGTAAGTGAAGTAATAGATAGATAGATAAACTTTATTCCGGACTCATGGTCCAACAAATACATACATAAAATAAGATAAAGATAGTTAATGATAAAAAAACACAATACAAGTACCATTATCGACTAAATAGGAACTTTAAGAAGACAGGAATACCAGTGTCTCCACAGCTTAGACTGATATTGGATTGCACTACGTTTGGTATCAGTAAGTGACAAAATAATATTGTTTCCAGATCCATTTAACCTACAAATAAACTTATACATTAACTTTTGTAAAACAGCTTGTAGGGTATTGACTCTTGCTGTGACAATAATAGAAATGGATAGATTAATATTGAAATGTTACAGTAGGGTTACAGAGCCTATGATTCAATTATATCTTAGTGTTTCCAGCAGGAAATTGTAACTGAAAATATTTTAGAAATGGCTGCCCGACCTTATAGAACCTCTAGGTTGATCCCCTGCTCATGAGCTTCATTTTCTCGAGTTTTAAATGTGCCATTACATCCTCAACCCATCGCCTATGTGTGTGAGGCCTCTCTGACTTCCATTCACAAAAAATAAGACGTCTGGCCAACAGAGATGAAAATGCAGTGGCATCTGATGTACATCCGATATCATCATCCCTTCAGGGGTCACATCAAATACAGCAATTTAGGTGCTTATCTCTCTGTCACAAATGTAAGAAAATTTGTAAAACATAAGAGACCAGAACTGTATCAACTTTGGGCATGCCCAGAACATATGATGGAGGGTATCTGGAGCCTGACAGCATCGGGAGCAAGTCGGATCGACTTCCAGGTATATTTTGGCAAGCTTTCTCTTTGACAGATGAAGCATGTTTAGCAGCTTAAACTGGAGCAAACATTGTCTAAGTGTATTCTCTTAATTGTGCTTTGCCAGAGGCTGTCCGACACCCCCAATCCCAATTCCTCTTCCTACTCTGTCTTAATATGCCAAAGTGACAATGATCCTCTGGATATCCTCATATAATCTGTTCACTCCTCTTTGATATACATCTTACTCCAACCATCTGTATATCCAGTCATTTGATGAGATTAACGGAAAGGAAGGAAGATGTTTCCGAATGAAGACACGCACCTGTTAATATCTGAAATAATGCAAACTGGTGAGATTATACTCATTTTCCAGCTGCTTGAATGGCACGAACATACCGTCCCTAAAAGAACCCTTCCACGTTTTAGTCCATTGCTGAGCCATAATTTAAAGGCTGTATCCATGAGTGAGGGTGGAAAGAGTGCATTGACCGAAATGGGCATAGACTGCATTGCCTGTCTATATTTGAAGTGTGATCTGAATTGGGTCCAAAGTGAGTCACAATTGGGTTGTTTGTACGCTGCTGCTGGCTGAGTGGCAATGGTGCACATACTAAAAAAGGTAGGGACTCAGGATAAGCACCTTATTGCTCCATTTCAACCCATACAGGTCCACCTAACTTGTAATAAGAATAGACCAAATATATTAGTTTATATATATTCGCTGCCCAGTAATATTTCCAAAAATTTGTTATCGCCAGGCTTCCAGCCTCTTTCTGTTTCTCAAGATGTGCCCTCCTTATTGGTGGGGTGTTCATATTCCAAATGAAGGTGGATATAGATTTACCCAGCTCTCTAAAAAATGACTGGGATAAATACAGGTATTGTTTAAAACAAAAATAAGAACCTGGGCATGATTATCATCTTGACAGAGTTAACCCTGCCAGCAAGTCATATAGGCAGCACTAACCAACCATCCTATAAAAAAGTAAAAATGTTTTGATTTGCAGTTCCCACCTTCGTCTGTAGATAGCAGTGATGTACCTTAAAATGAATCTAGCATGTACTATTCCAAAATCAGAAGCAGAGTGAGCTTAAATTAGCCCCAGAGAAGCATTGACTTTGTTCCTGAGTCATTTTGAAGATGTCATAGTCTGTGATTCAGTTGTACGAAGGGTGAATTTTCCCAATTCAGAATCAGCCTCATGAGGGTCATTACCCTGACTGCCTCTTACCGGAAAACCATACTTGCAGCTTTTATACCACCAACCAGGTTGTACCTTTTTAGTCCTGTTCTCGTTCTCACAGCAAGACAAACAGCTTTATGGCAGCCCAATGTAAGGCCACAGACATCAATAGCCACACTACTCTGCACTAATCACAGTTGATCAGGAAAAAAACTATGATTTTGGTAACCTGACAACAGCCAGATGCATGTTTCGCTCCGCCCAGCTCTGTGAGTGGAGCTGGGCGGAGCGAAACATGCATCTGGCTGTTGTCAGGTTATGATTTTGGAGGTTTTCCAGCAAAAAAAAAAAGGTAAAGAAAACCTTTGAAGTTGAAAGGAAAGGAAGATGTGAATTTATTTTGGATGGGACTTAAACATGAGTGAATTTGGGTGAGCCGTGTAGTTCTTGGCAAGACCTGGGCGTGTTGTGGGTGACGTAGAATGATTTCTGCACAAATTATTAGACATAGAAACAAATTTGGTTCCCCATATTCAGATAAGCAGATTGCATGTTCTACAGGGAGTTGAATGGTTATCATATAAATTATTATTATCATATTATTATCATATTAATTTATTATTAATGATAACACACTTACCTACTTTTTGCAGGCTCTTTTGATGTTCTATTTTTTAACAAACATGCCGCAATATTTAACTTCAGTCTCTTTTTTTTCAATTTGGCTTAACTAAATAAAGATTGGCTACTATCCCGTTGCATTAATCTGTGGTGTCCTGTAGAGTTTTTTTCTATATGAATTCTGTATCATTATTCCACTATTGTTATTTTTGAATGTAGAAATATGTTTACTTGCGTACAGATTATCTCTTCATCATCTGGAATCATACTAAAGCATTCTTTGTGGCAGAAATTGCTGCATATATGTTTTTGTGTCACTTTGCACTTGACTTTCAGAAGTACTAAAAAGACACGAAAACTGAGTTTCCAAATTTTAAGATTGCTTTACATGAGGTAAATAGTTAAATGTACCCATCCTCCAACCATGAATTTGTAGGTTTTAGCTTTTAGAATATGATCTGCATATTGAAGGAAAACATGCAAAACTGGTTTGCTGAGCTGCAAACGTAAATCACATTGCACCCACTTTAAATACCCTCTCGGCACATACAAACATGTTTGCACCTGTATTAAGAGATACAAACCTTCTAGAGATCAGATCTTTAGTGTTTAAATGCAAGATTTTTTTTTTCAAAATGCCAGCAGTATTATGTTAAAAAGTAGGTTTTCCTCTTTGATTACCAACAGTTAACTGAGGAGAGAAACCCAAGTTTGGATCAAGAAGAACCAGAGTTTCCTGTGATGAAAGAAAATGAAAACGTTGGACAAGCCAGAATATCTGCAGGTAAAAAAGGAGGAGAGTGAACTCTGCCTCAGTCACCATACAGATCACATTGTCCTAAAGCAGGATTGTGATATTTTTATTGATACACAAACTAGAGAGGAAAAAATAAAAATAATATAAAAAAATATATATTTTTCTTCATTATAAGATTTCTCAAAAAAAAAAAAATAAAAATAATATAAAAAAATATATATTTTTCTTCATTATAAGATTTCTCATGGAGTGTTCCCTTCTGCTAATTCTTTTAAAGAAAACATGTTGGATTTTCTTGCAAAAATTGTTGATTCTGCAACAAGTATTTGAAAAACCTGAAAACGTACGACTTTATATATGCAAGTATCTTATGACCACATCTGTGAACTGTCCCTGTTCTTCGCATCACTGAAACATAGTAAATGGACATGAGTGAAATTCTTTAAGATGTACAGGACCCAAATTGAACATTAAGTTTTTAGTTTTATCGGTTATTATTTTTGTTTTCGACTTATTTTACTGGCAGATAATTTTTTTCTGTCTTTAAAGGAAGGGTTTGTAGAATTTCAAGCACAACTGTATTATCATAGGACATCCAGGCAGCATTGCGCTTATCACTGGTTGCTGTTGTGCCATGATCGTGGCTTTGGACATTGGGAATCATCTTACCCTGATAACCTGAGAAGAAGATGCAGTTTTGGCTCATGGAACAGCTGTGAGTTCTGAAGTATGAGTTGACTTAATTATGAAATAATGAATTTGTTTAGTTGTATTTTTGCTCCTGTGCATAGTTTACTCTGTTTCTTGCCCCTGCCCCTTCATTATAGACAGGTGACTGCAGCACCTGAAATATATTGGAGTTGGCTATTGGGGCCGGAGGGGCTCTTGGATTCAGGCACGCAGCCATTCAGGTTTTGACCCCTATTGATTATTGTTGTTTTTTCGAGTGGTATAAAAAGGACCAAAATGAGCCGATATGATCTGCCTGTCACGTCATACTGCGGTAAGAAATTTGTTTGTTTTTTGGAAAATAAAGCATCTTGATCAAGAGGAAAGAAAGTTTGTTGGATTGCATGCTCACTTTAAAAAACATTTGACAGCGCTGAAGTGAGTCGAACTTTGATGCTTCTGAACCAAGAGCCACGTGATTTTGATCATTTCATGTGTTTACTGATGAGTAAAGACAAAGCTAACAGGATGGACTGCATGCTATGCCATGTTACAGTAATATGTTTTGAGCTGTTGCTGAAGCTTTGACAAGATTTGTTTCACTAAGGGTTTAAACACTGATATAACTGATATAACACTGATATATATATAATATAGTGTTCATGTGTTTTCTCATATGCTTATTACATTTCAATTACCAAGTATAACCAAAAGTAATTTAATGGAAACCTTATGTGTATTTGCTGCTAGCTATTTCAAAGAGGGTACAGAATCATTTAACCAAAGGTTACTGGTTCCTGATTAAGCAAATCATTTAATAAAACATTATTTGGCCCAATAATGTTTTATTCACCTCATGGATTTGCATTGTGAATTGGTCTGAAAACATTCCAATTTCTCTAAAGTAGTTCTCCAAGTTCTCCAAATTCCTTCCAGATAAACTTTGGTTTTCAAACACAGAATCCATCTTAAACTGTAAAATGGTTTTCAACCATGTTTCCCCTTCCTCTTTGTACATAGTAGTTGAGATTAGTTGAGTTTCACTAGTTTTAGTTAAGAGTGTTAAAATGAAATGTTTCGCTTGAACCTGAATGATTTTTGCTAATAAACTCTTATATTTTAAACAGAAGTTGTGGTGAATTTATTCTATGTATGTGCAGAATAATCCGTTTGAGCATGATTTGAGCTTGAATCACTCTTTCATTTATTGTTCTAACACACAAATAGTAGGGTGTGTGTTCATAAACAATATATAACACCCCAAATAATATCTGATTAAATAATATATTTACCACCCCTATCGGGTTGGGCAATAAACATCTTAAAGTATCAGAACATATGAATTCCCAGCTGGATAGGCATTGAATGTAACAGTTATGCACAACACTGCAATATGTCATATTTATGGATAATTTAATATAATGATTTTGTATGGAGAGCCATTACGTTCTAATTTAAATTAATAAATACATCAATCAATAAATTACTTAAAAAAAAACAGTTTGCAACATTTTTAAATTTTACTTTAATTAAATTTAAAATAGATTTAATTACTTCCAGATTTATCTATTTATTTTTGTTTATTTATTTATTACATAATGGAGTTTTATTTTTTTTGACAGTCATTTTGTAACAATTCTTTACATGTTCCAGTGACTTTTATTTCTTAACCCTGTTCTTCTTTTTAAGCTTTAATATTTATTAATCTATTTTTGAGTAAAGTGAAGAAGTGGAGCTGGTGGAAAAGGGTAAATATTGCAGTGTTCACCTGGACACCAGACTCAATTGGAAATGCAAAGTATATTTATTTACGAAAGGGGACAGAGCCGCCTATAAGGCTTAAGCCCTTCAGTGTCAGGAGTAATATACTGCATATTTTCTATAAGACTGTAGTGAAGAGTGTG